CAAATTATCTAGTGGCGACTTCCTAGACGTTATCTCGGTTGGGACAAGACGCCGGCGGTTCCAGGATGCCGGGCCGAGGATGTTGCTGTGAATACACGCGCTTTTATACGTTCCCGTTGCTGGGAAGATGAAAGATGACTGAAAATCTCATTAGCCAGCAAATTTCGAACAAGTACCGAGAATTTACGGCCCCGGATTCTAATCGCTCCCAACAAATACCGTGTAATGTCTTGATTTTCTTACTGTTTTTAGCTTCATCCTTTGTTTCCGTTGAGAATGGAAGATTGATAGATTAAATTATATTCGAGCCATTCGTTTACCAGAATGGTTAATTATACGAAATAAAAAGTAGAGAGATTTGAAGAAATTATATTACTATTTTAAAACTAAAATTCTAAAATATTTAAATTTATATTGAACAAGTTCTTTGAGACAAAAATTTGAAGCATTTAAAGGGCTGTAGTTTACCCTGTGTAAGGCTGTAGTGATTAATTAAGTTTCAGCTGTTTAATATGCATATCACCGTTGGATGTATATTATGGAAATTACGAAGTTACTTATGAAATATGACATGCATACTACAATGTTTCAATCTGTACATAACCGTCGTATCAAGAAAATTCCATTGGAAATGATGCCCACCTGAAAATGTCACGAAACCGTCTATTCCATACTCTGTTCGCGCTGAATTAACGGATACATGCCTTCTTAATTAACTCCCGATCTATTGACCGATAGAGAGTCCATCGATGAGTGAGACGGTTTCACAATTCGCACAGCGAAAGGTTAAAACGGCCCTGAGTAATTACACGCTTTACTCGGTTACGGCTAACGTAAGCAAAAGCATAACTTATTTCCACGAAGTAAGTTGGTGCACCTTGCGGTTGCTCGGCGTAGATATCGGAGGTAGATAACTTCGACCATTTGATAATAACCGATGTATTCGTTTCATCTCCTCGTTCCTGAAATGGCATCTTCTGATATTTCGTATGAACTTTTCAGAGCCAACGGTTTTCAGTTTTAAACGGTTCGAAACAGTTTCTAGAGAGCTTCGATGATATATTGGGTTGTATCATAATTAACTTCCGCGCTGAACGATGGAAAAGTATGTGCAGTAATTAAACGATAATTACATTAAAAGTAGATTAGCAATTCCAATGATTCATATGAATTTCTAATGAAATTCTGTTCCTGTGCTGATTAAAGCAATGTTTCAAAATTTGTTTTGTTTGTCAATGTTTTAACATGAATATGTTAAATAAATAATGCAACTGTGAATTGTTAAATAAATAATAAGATTGTAAATTTATGAAAGTCTATCTATGAAGTTGCAATATGATTGTGAATTTGTGAAAATCTATATACAAAATGACAATATGATTATAAATGTATAAAAGGGGTATCATGCAGTCTAAATCAAGCAAAATGGCTGAAAATTCACTAGACCGTATTCTCTATCTTACAAAGTTTGAGTATCGTCGTTAAAACTTTTCTGCCCATCTACATAAGTATTTTCTTATTATTATTACAAGAACATAATAGTACACAGTGATACAATTCCTCCGGTATGCATTGCAAAAGTAATTGATAAATGCAAGGAGAACACACTAACGTCTGTACACCTCGGTATCGCCAAATTGTTCTAATATTGCTATCGGCAGCCGGCATACCGTTACACGATCTACTGCATCGTTCCCGAGATTACAATTTATAAGCGCGGAACAAACCTCGTGGTCGTCCTATTTGGTTCGCGCAGAAATTTATTACCCGTTTGACCTGACCGATCGAGCCTCCGATGCGGATTGATTCTACTTGACAACTTGTTTGCACTCTCTTCCTCTTCCCCACCCCTTTGACCGGCAGCCGGTTCACCGTTTTACGTTTTCATGAATACAAATGTTAAACAAAATCGTCGAACAGCTTGCGAGTCCACAATCGAAACTCGTTCGATAAACGTATATAATTTTCACACAAAGAAGCAACCCCGTTCGCTCGATATATACAATGTGTACCGTAATATTTGCAGCACATTCCAACAGTTCAGAAAAATAATGCAGGAAGATCATATGAACGTGTGTCCTACTTGTTCTTGTATCGAAGTTATATCCATTCTTTTGTTTCCACAGTTTTATTTGTACATCCTATCGGTTCGCAGAATCAAATTATGTTCATTTATTTATTTGAATTTGTTATTACCTGCTTGAAAATTAAAAAAATGCAACGATCGCAGTATTTAGAATTCTTTTATGTAAAAATAGAAAAGCGTAATTCAGTCTCTCAATTAAAACGAAAGCGCGATCTTGCTGCTTGGTACTTTTCGATCAGATTTCTATAAAACCCGTGGGACTCGACCGGTTAGTAATAAGATAGTGACCGCCGATCTTCAATTTGCATGAAATCTTGAGAATTTGCATGCCGCAAGAACCAAAGAATATCACAGCTTTTTCAAAATTCAAGAAAAGCAAAGTATAACGAGAACTAAAAAAACATAAGATCAATAAATGTCCAGGGGACAATAGTTTTACGGATACATACAAATCGTGGCAGGTTCCATTTAAATGATCCAAAAACGAAAATACCCGTGAGCTTCGAAACAGAGCGAAACACGCCGCACGTTCGCAGTTTTTCCATTGTCCCGTGTCCCTATTGACGTTTACATGTTACAGTACACCCGGTATATCACAATTCACGGTAGTTTTCTCCGATAAGGCGGAAAAGAAATGAAAACGGCGACCACGACGAACGAATTCCGGGGTTAGATTTTCTTTGCCGCGAATTAATAATAGATATAGCCGTGAACGGGGACCAGTTTTTCAACGAACTTTCAGTCGTCGGTATTTCCAGACGGAAAAGTTCCCCAGCGTTCGCCAGCGGCCGCGGATATTGAGCAAATTTCCCTCGCGTCGCGCGCGCGGATCGCGGTTGCGGCAATAACGCGCAGTCGAAAATTCTAGTTGCGAAATTCCTGTTATCTGCGAGAACTTTCATTTCCGTCCGGTCACGTGAATATTCATGGGGAATGGCGAGCGGGCCCGCGCGTGCAAGATGGACGCGCGCGGGATATCGAATTTCGGAA